AGAAGGAAATAGTGCAACTTTTTCTTTTGAAAACCCCATTTTATAAGCAGAAATGCATACTAACAACAGGTAAATGCACTAAATACAAAAGGAAAGCTAAAAGGCAAAACACCAGCATAAACAGAAGCAAAGTTCCATGAAATTACACAAGACTAAGAACAACACACCTCGAATTGGGGCTCCAGAAAATGACACAGAAATTACAAATGCGTGAAAAGGGAAAGTCAGGGCCAAAACACACGGATCCAATGCCTGATAATCGCGCAGTGACAGCCTGGGGATGAGATTCTATGGCAAAAACCCCCCATTGAGTGGGGGTTTCTTGAAGAAGGAGATTTCGGAATCTCTCTCAGAAAGAGTACAAATTGACAGAAATGAACTTAGGGATTGCTTTTGAGCACTGAAGATAGGACTTCTACTCTTAACGACTGGTAGAGAAGAGTGAGGCGGGTTCCAAATAGACGGATGTATCGCGAAGACGAAGAGAATTTTAAGGGGCTCCACATCGCGAAAAAATTGAGGGATATTAGTTTGAATTTATTTAGAGTTATATTATTTGCTAAACTCCTTGATCTTAAGATTTGATTTTGATAGCGACAGTGTGAGAGTTCTATTGTTTGTAATAACTCTTTGTGTATATTAGACACATGACGGCTTCTCTAAAGATTAGTTTGGGATTATATCATGACTTATCCTCTCACAATCATGTCGGGCCGAACCAGATTGAGATTATACTAAAATTTACCTCACTCACAATTCTGTCGGGCCGGAATGTGAGGTGCGCGTGGGCGTCTCATCTTTGTTACATTAGTCATTGCTCTTCAGATCAAACTAGTACTCCATAATTTCACTTTAATTCTTGTGTTAATGTTAAAAACATACAGAGTATATGTCATGTTCTCCTCAACTTACTTTTTTAACTTATTATTTATTTTTATTGAAATTAGATCATATCAGATCATATAAAAAGCAGTTTTAATAGTAACTACATCCAGATCAGGTTAGGAATAAATGGCCTTATACCCTATTTAAATATTTAAAATATTCTATAAACCAACTTTTATTTGTAATGAAATAAGCAAGGTATATTTATTACTCCATCCGTCCCAAAAAATATTACCCTTTTTGATGTATTTTTGGTCAAACAGTTACACGTTTTAACCATAAATTAAATATAATCTAAATAAAAAAATGTTATAAAAATTTGATATATCAAAATTAGATCATAAGATAAATCTAATTATATTAAATTTATATTATAATTTAATATACGTTTTTCATAATTTATAGTCAAAGCGTGTAACTATTTGACCAAATACTATTCAAAATGAGTAATGTTTTGTGAGACGGAGAGAGTAGGATTTTAGGTGAGGATAGAAATGTTTTGTGTGATGCTAAAAAAATATGATGAAATTGCTTTTCAAAACAGAAAGAATATCTTTATATATGGAGTAGTTTTATTTGCTATTTGTTTAAATAAAATAATTATGTCACATTTTTTTGAATAATTTTTTCTGTAGTTTATATTTTAAGATTTAATGTAAAATTTTAAACTAAATGGGTCGACCCCTTGGTTTGAATAATAATATGTAATAAGAATAAGTTTAATAGAATAATCTCTTTGTCACCCCACAGTTTTAAATGTGTTGTGCTCGACAGCACTTTTGAAATTGTTTTTTATCGTCAATATATACTCCTTTTGTCTGTATGCTGCGATCATACGCTACCTGATCGTATTTCTCGCTTTATTTCTTCTGAATGGATTTTTTATTTTTTAAAAAAACAATGAACACATACTCTTTGTTAAAGAATCAACTCAACCAAAAGCTTAAGTTTTGGTTGTAGGCACATGAAAGGTTTTATATCCTGACTGTCAAGGAACCAACTCAACCAAAAGCTCAGGTTTTTTGTTGTAAACTCAGAAAAAGAATTAATTCTAACACACTTCATCACGTGCAGATAAATTCAATTCGAACCTTGTATGTGAAATCTTACTTTTTAAAACACTGGGTGACAATGAGTTTCAAAAATCTTAACCAGCTTGACTCTGATAACATGCCAATGAACTAACTCAACCAAATTACCAAAAGTTCAAGCTTTTGGTTGTAAACTAAATGGTTTTTATATTCTAACACTTCTTTTGTCTCAATATCAAAGTCTTTTTATTTGGCAATTCTAAAATTAAAATCTCAACTTTATTTTTGACATCTATTTTTGAAAATTATTAAGTCACTCCCTCCATTTTTTTAATGGTCTATTGTGACTTTTATGATGCACTATTGAAAAAATGAATAAATATAGACATAAAATATGTCTATATTCATTTACTCTCTCTGTCTCAATTTAAATCACACTCTTCAATTTCTGATGTTTGGATGAAGCTATTTTTAATTCAATTTTTTAGAAAATTGGAGATGAATAAAAAATAAACTTTATATATCAAAAAACTATATCAAAAGATCTATGAAACAAGAGGTGACATGACTACATTATTTTATTAAATGAGTAACAAAAAAGGGAAAAGACTGGCGTTGGGCGACGTCTCCTTCAGTACTTGGATTTGTGATTTCTGTTCTCTGGCCAGTCAACCTCGTGGTTCATATGTCTACCATTAGGGTTAGCTTATAGTTTAGTTCTTTATTTGTATATTTTTATATGATGGATTTCGAGTTCATAAGCATGATCATTAAGCCATATGTTAATTTTGACTTGATTTGTATAGGAGCTTGTCTTAGGGCTTGGATTATGATCTTGTGTGTTTATTATGTTATATTGTGTGCTTTGTGAATCTCCCAAACTTTGAAGCCTCGTCAGACGAAGGTTGAAGATGATGTTTTTTGTTCAGCACGTCTAGCGGTAAGCCACTCCGGGTCAACGATAGTAGGCTACTGTGCACCGGTAGCATGGCATTGTGCTTTCAGTAGCCTGATATCAGTAAAGGTCCATTCCTTTTGTTAGAGCTCTTCCGATAATGGTACTCAACTACTGGTCGGCGGTACTGAGCCACTAGCTGACAGTATCGACGTACAGTTACCATGTGAAGAGTTATCAGGTAAATTTGAATCAGTTTGCTCCTTTTGAATTGTTGTATCGATGCATGAAGGTTATCGAAGGGTCTCTAGCC